TACTCACCCGCGTTCGCCTCAGCGCAAGCGCGCGGGGTCGGGATGTCTGGTGCATCCGGGTCTCCCTCAGGTGCAATTAGCATTGACACGAGATGAGGTACAGCAGCCGCAAAGCACTGGAACTCCTCCTGCCTGTCCTCAAGGACGTCCATGCCAAGAGCACACTCACCCCCGACGGACGGAGGACAGACAGACTCAGACTCAGCAACAAGACTAGCGGCGTAGTCTAGACGACAGGCAGCAGCAAAGGCAACAAGCTCAGCAACCAAGGCAGACGCAGCAGTAGACTCAAATGACGGGTCAGTGACAACAGTGGCTAATAGACGCGTGACAGTAGGGTGCTCAGCACGAAACCGGTCAGACTCAGGGTCCGGAACGTCAGGCAGAGAGGACGCAGGAGGAGACGGCAGAGGAACAGGCTGCGGAGCAGAGGAAGGACGACGGACTACGAGGTGTGCGCTGGGGACAGCCGGCTGACGCGAACGAGGAACACGACGACTGGTACGACCAGGACGAACAGGCGAGACAGGACGCGACGCAGGCTCACGACGCTCAGCAGGACTACCTGTCTGCTCAGTGTAAGGAGAAGGAGCAGGCAGCGGTGAGCCAGGCTGTAACGGAAGACCAGTAGACGACGGGAGAGTAAGAACCTGACGAAGAACAGAGTCAGGCGGCGGCAGAGACGACGGAGACGGCGGAGCGAAGAACAGTCGTGTCGGCGCAGCTGCACCAGTACCGGCAGCTCCAGCAGCTCCAGTACCTCCAGCAGCTCCAGCACCTCCAGCAGCTCCAGAAGCTCCAGCCCCAGAACCGACACCTCCAGGCCCAGGGTCTCCAACCTCAGTGTCTCCAGCAGCAGCACCCCCAGAACCAGCACCTCCAGTCCCAGGGTCTCCAGCCTCAATGTCTCCAGCAGCAGCACCCCCAGAACCAGCACCTCCAGTCCCAGGGTCTCCAGCCTCAATGTCTCCAGCAGCAGCACCCCCAGAACCAGCACCTCCAGTCCCAGGGTCTCCAGCCTCGGTGTCTCCAGCAGCAGCACCTCCAGACGCAGCACCCCCAGCCCCAGCAGCTCCAGTACCTCCAGTACGAGCACCTCCGGGACCAGCGACTCCAGCACCTCCAGTAGACAAAGTACCAGCACCACTCCTAGCTCCAGGGACGTCAGCAGAAGTACCTCCAGCAGCAGAGCCCCGGGCTCCAGCAGCGCGACCCTGACGGCGACCGTACCAGTCGTGCAGCTGCTGCGAGGTGAGAGGCACACGCGGACGAAGGCGGCTACTCCAAGGAGACCGCGCAACAGCAGACTCAGAACCCTCAGCACCAGCACCCCAAACTGCTCCAGAACCTCCTGCGCCAGCACCCTCAGCACCAGTACCTCCAGCAGCTCCAGAACCTACAGCGCCAGCACCCTAAGCAGCTCCAGAACCCCAAACGCCAGTACCCTCAGCAGCTCCAGAACCTCCAGCTCCAGCGCTACCAGTACCAGGCCTTGCCTCCAGCAGCTCCAGAACCTCCAGCGCCAGCACCCTCAGCAGCTCCAGAACCCCCAGTGTCAGTACCCTCAGCAGCTCCAGAACCTCCAGCAGCGCGGCCCTGACGGCCAAGGTACCACTCAACCAGCTGCAGGGAGGAGAGGGGGAGTGGACGACGAGAGGGCAGCGGCGAGGCACCAGCGGAGCGACTACGGAGACGGCCGCTCCAGGGAGACTGCTCACCAGACGCCTCAGCAACCCCAGGTGCAGCACCCCCAGACTCAGTACTGCCAAGCTCAGCACCTCCAGGCCCCACACCCTCAAGCTCCGCACCCCCAGGCTCAGCACCCCAAGGCTCAGCACCCCCAGGCTCAGCACCCCCAGAAGTAGCACCCCGAGCAGGACCTGAGTCACCAGTGACCTCAACCGGCGCAGTCAAGGGAGGAGGGTCTACCTGAGACACACCTGAAGGAGCAGGACCAGGAGCGGGGAGGGGGTCTACCTGGGGAGCACCTGGAGCGAGGAAGAGCGGCGGGGGGGGGGAGCGGGGCAGTGCGGTAGGGGAAGAGACGGTAAAAGGGAACCGACTCGTCGAACGTGACGTCCTGAGACGCAAAGACACGGCGCGAGGTGGGGTGGTAAAACTGCCAACCAGGCGCGTCAGGGACAAAGCCAAGGAAGACACAGGGGACAGCGCGGGCGGAGAGCTTGTCCGCAGTGGTATCGCGGACAAAGGCACGAGCACCCCAGACCCGGAAACGCGACGCATCGCCCACCTTCCCCGTCCACAGCAGTGTGGGCGAGGTCTCCGGCAAGGAGACACGGGGCCAGAGGTTGAGCTGATGCGCGGCGTACCAGACCGCAAACGGCCACAGAAAATGGGGGGCAGCCGCATGGATCATGGAGGTACGAGCGACCTCCATGACTAAGCCAATGCGGCGCTCAGCAACCCCATTCTGCTGCGGAGAGGTCGGAAGCGTGAACGACTGGGTGATGCCGTGCTCCGCACAGTAGGCTGCCAAGAGGTCTGAGGTGAACTCACCGCCTCTGTCAGAGTGCAGACGCAGGTTGGTTCGCCTCAGACCTCTTGGCAGCCTACTGTGCGAGCGGTCCCGCTGGAACCGCTCGCGGAGCTGGAGACAAACAGCGCGGATCCAAGGGATCAAAACATCAGGGACGTCCCCCTTGCTGCGCAAGGGGAAGACCGTGGTGTAACGCGTGTAGTCGTCGACGACCAGCAGGAAGTACCGCTCGTGGCCCTGTCCACGGATGCGGGCTGGGCCCCACACGTCCAGGTGGAGAGTCTGCAGAGGAGCCTCTGTGGGAGGGAACGAGGAGGAGTGAGGAGCGGCGCGCTGCCGCCCCTCGACGCAAGGAATGCAGGGCGGCGCAGGCGAGGGAGGTAGGGCAGGCAGAGACCTGGGAAGACCAGAAACCAGGGAGCGAGAGTGCATGCTACGAAGGCGAGGCAGGGAGGGGTGACCAAGGCGGTGGTGCCACAGGAGCGTGTCGTGCGACAAAGCGCGACACTCGCAGGGGGCCGCCAGCTGACCAGACACAGACGCAGACGCAGCTACCTGAAGGGACTCAGTGGTGAGTGTGTACAGACTCGAGCCAGGCGCACGGGTAAACGTGGCCAGGTGTCGGCCCGTCCGAGCACACGTACAGTGAGTCACTCGCTGACTCGCAGGAGTGAACTGGTGAACCCCCCCATCCTGGAGGTCAGCTCCACTCACCAAGTTCGTAGAGAACGAGGGGAGGTAAAGACCTGACAGCGAGCCAGACGGGGCGGCCGGACACGGCAGAACCGTGGAGTAGTGGGCAAGGACAGGACCCCCAGAGGGGTCCGCCAGGGAGACTGCAACTGGCCGACTAAGCGGCGTGAGTGTGGTGCAATCGCGAAAGAAGGAGCGGGAAGCTCCTGAGTCAAGGGTGAAGGTGTGCAAGACCGCAGCAGGCGCAGTACCAGAGAGAGCAGACTCACCAGCACCTGGAGCCGCAGCCTCACCAGCACCTAGAGCAGGAGACGTATTAGCACCTAGAGCAGCAGCCTCACCAGCACCTAGAGCAGGAGACGTACTAGCACCTAGAGCAGCAGCCTCACCAGTACCTAGAGCAGGAGACGCACTAGCACCTAGAGCAGCAGCCTCACCAGCACCGAGAGCAGCAGGCTCTATACCAGGGTCAGGCGGTACGCACAGGTAATAGGCACGGTCAGCACTAATAGGCAATGTATACATGGCAGTGAGAATAGCATCATAGTCAGGAGCAAAGATATCTACCCTCTGTCCAAGCAGCTCCAGCCAGGTGGGGAGCTCAGCCTCGTCGCCAAACACTGTACGCCAGTCGTCGCTCAGACGGGCGAAGCAGCGGGACGGTGTGTGACCAAGCGTCCCGCAAGGCTGACCAACCCGATCACCTGTGCGAATGACGTACTGGCAGCGAACTGTACGCGTAGACCTGCTACACTGAGCGTACCACTCGTGGAGCGTCCACGCGGCAGGGGCAGGCGGCGCACGGGGCTACAGGCGGCCGGCAGGGCAGCAGGGCAGGCCGCGCGCAGGGCGTAGTGGGCGGCTGCAGCAGCAGGGCGGGTGGCGCACGAGCGCAGCAGCAGGGCGGGCGGCTGCAGCGTAGCGGGCGGCTGCAGCAGCAGGGCGGGCGGCGCACGAGCGCAGCAGCAGGGCAGGCGGCTGCAGCAGCAGGACGGGCGGCGCACGAGCGCAGCAGCAGGGCGGGCGGCTGCAGCGTAGCGGGCGGCAGCAGCGTAGCGGGCGGCTGCAGCAGCAGGGCGGGCGGCGCACGAGCGCAGCATCAGGGCGGGCGGCTGCAGCGTAGCGGGCGGCAGCAGCTTAGTTGACGGCTGCAGCAGCAGGGCGGGCGGCTTAGCAGGCAGCCGCGGCAGAGGCAGGCGGCGCGCGGGGCTACAAGCGGCCAGCAGGGCAGGCGGGCGGGCGGCGCGCAGGGCTGCGGGGCAACGCGACGGGCAGCATGCGGGGCGTAGCAGGCAACCGCAGCAGCGCGCAGGCTGTTAGCGGGCGGTGTGTGGGCTGGCAGGAGCCGCGCGCGGGCTGTGCGTGCAGCTGGCGGGTCGCGCGGGCTGCTAGCAGGCTGCGCGCGGGCCAGCAGGGGCGACGCGCGGGTCGCAGGGGTCGTTAGCGGGCAGCGCGCGGGCCAGCAGAGGCGACGCACGGGTCGCGCGGGCTGCTAGTGGCGCGGCGTAGGGAAGGGCAGGCAGGGCGCGGGGCAACGCGGTAACTGCAGGCGGTTTTAGGGTGGGCCCGAAATAAACGTGTCTAAGGTCCTAAGGACATCAAGCTCTTAATACCATGTTAGAGTAGTGAAAGGAGAATGATGACTATCGAGGGTGTTTGGGCACAAATATGAGAACCCCAAAAGGGGTGTACCCCACATTGGCTACCCCACTACAGCCTACCCTAATCATAATAACATATATAGCTTGACACCCCTACCCAACAAGCTTGTTTACTTAACTCCGTCGGAGTGAGCAGCTTCCTACTTCAGATGAGACTCACAAAATTGTTCCTGTTTTTATGTTTTCTCAATCCATTTGCTCCGTGTGTGCAGCATCCCTCAGTTGACGATGGAGCCCGGAAGCATCAGCTCCAGCGGGCGGCATTAAACACCCTTCCACTGCCCGCATTGGACACCCTTCCACTGCCCGCATTGGACACCCTTCCACTGCCCGCATTGGACACCCTTCCACAGCCCGCATTGGACACCCTTCCACTGCCCGCATTGGACACCCTTCCACTGCCCGCATTGGACACCCTTCCACTGCCCGCATTGGACACCCTTCCACTGCCCGCATTGGACACCCTTCCACTGCCCGCATTGGACACCCTTCCACTGCCCGCATTGGACACCCTTCCACTGCCCGCATTGGACACCCTTCCACTGCCCGCATTGGACACCCTTCCACTGCCCGCATTGGACACCCTTCCACTGCCCGCATTGGACACCCTTCCACTGCCCGCATTGGACACCCTTCCACTGCCCGCATTGGACACCCTTCCACTGCCCGCATTGGACACCCTTCCACTGCCCGCATTGGACACCCTTCCACTGCCCGCACCCCCTCTCACACCACCTGCTTTCCCCCTCCACCCTCCTCTCTTCACATGCCTGCCTCGCCTGCTGGGAGCAGCGGGCGTGGAGAGGAAGGAGTGGAGGGAGGAGAGCCAGGCGGTGGCCTGGGTGACCTCGCGGTGCAGTAGCAGATGGCGCCCGTACCGCGCCAGCTCACCCCCCACGCCCCGCCGCCGCAGATACGCCTCCACCGCCGCCTGCACGGCGGGCGGCACAGCGCTGCCAGGCGGTTCGGGAGAGAGTAGTGGGATCAGCACCATGGAGAATTGATCAAGTGGGGAGGAGAGATGTAGAGTGAGAGTGACAAGAGAAGAAACAGTGGATGAGTTGGCATGAAAGGAGGAAGAAGAAATACGTATGGCTGCAAGAAACCACTCATAGAGGGACTCACTCGTAGAGCGACTCACTCGTAGAGCGACTCACTCGTAGAGCGACTCACTCGTAGAGCGACTCACTCGTAGAGCGACTCACTCGTAGAGCGACTCACTCGTAGAGCGACTCACTCGTAGAGCGACTCACTCGTAGAGCGACTCACTCGTAGAGCGACTCACTCGTAGAGCGACTCACTCGTAGAGCGACTCACTCGTAGAGCGACTCACTCGTAGAGCGACTCACTCGTAGAGCGACTCACTCGTAGAGCGACTCACTCGTAGAGCGACTCACTCGTAGAGCGACTCACTCGTAGAGCGACTCACTCGTAGAGCGACTCACTCGTAGAGCGACTCACTCGTAGAGCGACTCACTCGTAGAGCGACTCACTCGTAGAGCGACTCACTCGTAGAGCGACTCACTCGTAGAGCGACTCACTCGTAGAGCGACTCACTCGTAGAGCGACTCACTCGTAGAGCGACTCACTCGTAGAGCGACTCACTCGTAGAGCGACTCACTCGTAGAGCGACTCACTCGTAGAGCGACTCACTCGTAGAGCGACTCACTCGTAGAGCGACTCACTCGTAGAGCGACTCACTCGTAGAGCGACTCACTCGTAGAGCGACTCACTCGTAGAGCGACTCACTCGTAGAGCGACTCACTCGTAGAGCGACTCACTCGTAGAGCGACTCACTCGTAGAGCGACTCACTCGTAGAGCGACTCACTCGTAGAGCGACTCACTCGTAGAGCGACTCACTCGTAGAGCGACTCACTCGTAGAGCGACTCACTCGTAGAGCGACTCACTCGTAGAGCGACTCACTCGTAGAGCGACTCACTCGTAGAGCGACTCACTCGTAGAGCGACTCACTCGTAGAGCGACTCACTCGTAGAGCGACTCACTCGTAGAGCGACTCACTCGTAGAGCGACTCACTCGTAGAGGGACTCACTCGTAGAGGGACTCACTGGTAGAGGGACTCACTCGTAGAGCGACTCACTCGTAGAGCGACTCACTCGTAGAGCGACTCACTCGTAGAGCGACTCACTCGTAGAGCGACTCACTCGTAGAGCGACTCACTCGTAGAGCGACTCACTCGTAGAGCGACTCACTCGTAGAGCGACTCACTCGTAGAGCGACTCACTCGTAGAGCGACTCACTCGTAGAGCGACTCACTCGTAGAGCGACTCACTCGTAGAGCGACTCACTCGTAGAGCGACTCACTCGTAGAGCGACTCACTCGTAGAGCGACTCACTCGTAGAGCGACTCACTCGTAGAGCGACTCACTCGTAGAGCGACTCACTCGTAGAGCGACTCACTCGTAGAGCGACTCACTCGTAGAGCGACTCACTCGTAGAGCGACTCACTCGTAGAGCGACTCACTCGTAGAGCGACTCACTCGTAGAGCGACTCACTCGTAGAGCGACTCACTCGTAGAGCGACTCACTCGTAGAGCGACTCACTCGTAGAGCGACTCACTCGTAGAGCGACTCACTCGTAGAGCGACTCACTCGTAGAGCGACTCACTCGTAGAGCGACTCACTCGTAGAGCGACTCACTCGTAGAGCGACTCACTCGTAGAGCGACTCACTCGTAGAGCGACTCACTCGTAGAGCGACTCACTCGTAGAGCGACTCACTCGTAGAGCGACTCACTCGTAGAGCGACTCACTCGAGGAGGGACTCACTCGTAGAGCGACTCACTCGTAGAGCGACTCACTCGTAGAGCGACTCACTCGTAGAGCGACTCACTCGTAGAGCGACTCACTCGTAGAGCGACTCACTCGTAGAGCGACTCACTCGTAGAGCGACTCACTCGTAGAGCGACTCACTCGTAGAGCGACTCACTCGTAGAGCGACTCACTCGTAGAGCGACTCACTCGTAGAGCGACTCACTCGTAGAGCGACTCACTCGTAGAGCGACTCACTCGTAGAGCGACTCACTCGTAGAGCGACTCACTCGTAGAGCGACTCACTCGTAGAGCGACTCACTCGTAGAGCGACTCACTCGTAGAGCGACTCACTCGTAGAGCGACTCACTCGTAGAGCGACTCACTCGTAGAGCGACTCACTCGTAGAGCGACTCACTCGTAGAGCGACTCACTCGTAGAGCGACTCACTCGTAGAGCGACTCACTCGTAGAGCGACTCACTCGTAGAGCGACTCACTCGTAGAGCGACTCACTCGTAGAGCGACTCACTCGTAGAGCGACTCACTCGTAGAGCGACTCACTCGTAGAGCGACTCACTCGTAGAGCGACTCACTCGTAGAGCGACTCACTCGTAGAGCGACTCACTCGTAGAGCGACTCACTCGTAGAGCGACTCACTCGTAGAGCGACTCACTCGTAGAGCGACTCACTCGTAGAGCGACTCACTCGTAGAGCGACTCACTCGTAGAGCGACTCACTCGTAGAGCGACTCACTCGTAGAGCGACTCACTCGTAGAGCGACTCACTCGTAGAGCGACTCACTCGTAGAGCGACTCACTCGTAGAGGGACTCACTCGTAGAGGGACTCACTCGTGGAGGGACTCACTCGTAGAGCGACTCACTCGTAGAGCGACTCACTCGTAGAGCGACTCACTCGTAGAGCGACTCACTCGTAGAGCGACTCACTCGTAGAGCGACTCACTCGTAGAGCGACTCACTCGTAGAGCGACTCACTCGTAGAGCGACTCACTCGTAGAGCGACTCACTCGTAGAGCGACTCACTCGTAGAGCGACTCACTCGTAGAGCGACTCACTCGTAGAGCGACTCACTCGTAGAGCGACTCACTCGTAGAGCGACTCACTCGTAGAGCGACTCACTCGTAGAGCGACTCACTCGTAGAGCGACTCACTCGTAGAGCGACTCACTCGTAGAGCGACTCACTCGTAGAGCGACTCACTCGTAGAGCGACTCACTCGTAGAGCGACTCACTCGTAGAGCGACTCACTCGTAGAGCGACTCACTCGTAGAGGGACTCACTCGTAGAGGGACTCACTCGTGGAGGGACTCACTCGTAGAGCGACTCACTCGTAGAGCGACTCACTCGTAGAGCGACTCACTCGTAGAGCGACTCACTCGTAGAGCGACTCACTCGTAGAGCGACTCACTCGTAGAGCGACTCACTCGTAGAGCGACTCACTCGTAGAGCGACTCACTCGTAGAGCGACTCACTCGTAGAGCGACTCACTCGTAGAGCGACTCACTCGTAGAGCGACTCACTCGTAGAGCGACTCACTCGTAGAGCGACTCACTCGTAGAGGGACTCTCTCGTAGAGCGACTCACTCGTAGAGCGACTCACTCGTAGAGCGACTCACTCGTAGAGCGACTCACTCGTAGAGCGACTCACTCGTAGAGCGACTCACTCGTAGAGCGACTCACTCGTAGAGCGACTCACTCGTAGAGCGACTCACTCGTAGAGCGACTCACTCGTAGAGCGACTCACTCGTAGAGCGACTCACTCGTAGAGCGACTCACTCGTAGAGCGACTCACTCGTAGAGCGACTCACTCGTAGAGCGACTCACTCGTAGAGCGACTCACTCGTAGAGCGACTCACTCGTAGAGCGACTCACTCGTAGAGCGACTCACTCGTAGAGCGACTCACTCGTAGAGCGACTCACTCGTAGAGCGACTCACTCGTAGAGCGACTCACTCGTAGAGCGACTCACTCGTAGAGCGACTCACTCGTAGAGCGACTCACTCGTAGAGCGACTCACTCGTAGAGCGACTCACTCGTAGAGCGACTCACTCGTAGAGCGACTCACTCGTAGAGCGACTCACTCGTAGAGCGACTCACTCGTAGAGCGACTCACTCGTAGAGCGACTCACTCGTAGAGCGACTCACTCGTAGAGCGACTCACTCGTAGAGCGACTCACTCGTAGAGCGACTCACTCGTAGAGCGACTCACTCGTAGAGCGACTCACTCGTAGAGCGACTCACTCGTAGAGCGACTCACTCGTAGAGCGACTCACTCGTAGAGCGACTCACTCGTAGAGCGACTCACTCGTAGAGCGACTCACTCGTAGAGCGACTCACTCGTAGAGCGACTCACTCGTAGAGCGACTCACTCGTAGAGCGACTCACTCGTAGAGCGACTCACTCGTAGAGCGACTCACTCGTAGAGCGACTCACTCGTAGAGCGACTCACTCGTAGAGCGACTCACTCGTAGAGCGACTCACTCGTAGAGCGACTCACTCGTAGAGCGACTCACTCGTAGAGCGACTCACTCGTAGAGCGTGTAGTCGAAGGGCATTCTGAAGGAGTCCTCGTGCACTGCTGCCTCGTCCACCGCCACCTGCAGGTGCATGGGGGGGAATAAGGGGGCATGGGGGGACATGGGGGGGCATGGGGGGGCATGGTGGGCCATGGGGGGGCATGGGGGGGCATGGGGGGCATGGGGGGCAGGGGGTCATGGGGGCCCATGGGGGGGCATGGGGGGCATGGGGGGGCATGGGGGGCATGGGGGGGCATGGGGGGGCATGGGGGGCATGGGGGGGCATGGCATGGGGGGGGGCATGGGGGGGCATGGGGGGCATGGGGGGCCATGGGGGGCATGGGGGGCATGGGGGGCATAATGGGGGGCATGGGGGGCATGGGGGGGCATAAGGGGGCATGGGGGACATGGGGGGGGGCATGGGGGGCCATGGGGGGGCATGGGGGGCATGGGGGGGTGGGGGGGCATGGGGGGCATGGGGGGGGGGGCCCATGGGGGGGGGGGGGGGGGGCATGGGGGGGCCATGGGGGGCATGGGGGGGCATGGGGGGGCATGGGGGTGGGGGGGGGGGGGGGGGGGGGGGGGGGGGCATGGGGGGGCATGGGGGGCATGGGGGGGCATGGTGGCGATGGCATGAGCAGAGGCCGAGAGGAGGTCAACCTGGCACAAGCATTCGGTAGGCGGCAAGCAATGTGAGCGGCCTGTGTGCCCCACGGCGCTTGCTACAATGGCAGTGCAACGACGGCTGACATGGTTCACGAGCCACTCACATGGTTCACGAGCCACTCACATGGTTCACGAGCCACTCACATGGTTCACGAGCCACTCACATGGTTCACGAGCCACTCACATGGTTCACTCACGACGAGCCACTCACATGGTTCACGAGCCACTCACATGGTTCACGAGCCACTCACATGGTTCACGAGCCACTCACATGGTTCACGAGCCACTCACATGGTTCACGAGCCACTCACATGGTTCACGAGCCACTTACATGGTTCACGAGCCACAATGGTACAGTGCACTCGCAGCCGCGCCTCCCCCTCACCACCCCCTGTCGCCGTGCCTGCAGCAGCGTCCCCTCGCCCATCGCCCCCCATGCGCCTCACAGGCCAGCCCCTCACCGCGCCCTCCCTACCACCCATGCCCGCCATGCCCACGGCCGTGCTCCTTGCACCCGTGCTGCCCGCCTGCATGGGCGGCACCGGCTTGCACACGAGGATGAGTGCGGGGATGCCGGCTCTCACCGCCCCCAACGCCACTGCCACGTGCCTCACCAGCCCCGCCGCCCTCCTCCCCCTCCTCCCCCTGGTCCATGAGTCCCCCCTCATGGCCCTGCAGCAGCAGCATGAGGCGCAGCTGCTCGCCGTGGAAGGCACGTGAGAGCCACAGGTCCGCCACGCCCTCGCGCTCCTCCACCCGCCACGGCAGGGGCGGCCCTGCCAGGATGGGCTGGGGGGGGGTGGGGAGGGGAAGGCGACGCAGGTGAGAGGGAGGTAAGGCGCACGGCGAGAGGCGAGAGGCGAGAGGCGAGAGGCGAGAGGCGAGAGGCGAGAGGCGAGAGGCAGCAGCAATGTGATGTGGTAGCAGCGGCGCACAGCACAAGGGGTGGGAGGGGCAGGGCGCACGGAGGGGGGGAGGTACATGGCCTTCTCGTGCGCCACCTGGGAGGGGCAGGGCGCACGGAGGGGGGGAGGTACATGGCCTTCTCGTGCGCCACCTCCATGCCCCGCCGCCACCAACTCTTCGTCCGCCCCACCGCCCTCTTCCACTCCCCCTGCCCCGCGCTGCTGCTGCTGCTGCCGCTGCCCCGGCCACCACTCCATCGCCTCCTCCTCTCCCTCCTTCGCCTTCCGCCTTCTCCTCCGCTCGCCCTTCCCGCCGCCCCTCTCTGCCGCCGCTGACCGTTCTAGCTGCTTCCGCCAGTACGCCTCTCCCCACTCCGCCTCCCCCTCCGCCCCGCGCTCGTCCTCTTGCGCCGCGTCTCCCCGCGCCCCTCCTGCGCGCCTCATGCCGCCGTCCGTCGCCACCTCCGCTGGCCCAATGGCGTCACCGCCACCAGCTGCTGACACGCCATACCTTCGCCCGCCCACGCCCGCTAGCGCGCACGGCCCCTCCACCGCACCTCCGCGTCTCGCCTCTGCGCCAATGCGCCAATCGCCGCCACCCGCCGCCCGCCACATCGTCGCCCCGTCGCTCTCCACCTGTGTACCTTGACGCGGAATCTGCGTCGCGTAAGCGCCGGCCGCCCACCGTGCGACCGCCTCTCGCCACGCACTGCCGCGCGCACCCCCCTTGCACTCCCTCCGCATGCCGTCATCGCCGCTCCCTCCAAAGCCCGCCCCGCTCCCACTCCGCTCCTCCCACATCCCCGTCCCCCACATCCCCGTCCCCACTGCGCAAGACTGCGCGTCACAGCGAAGAATCCGATCCGCCGAGAGCACGGACGGCACGCGGCGGTCCCATGGTGTGGCGGCGGCAGGGCAGTTGCCGAATCCCGGCAGGTGCCGCCCAACGGTGACGAGCGCCGCGCGGGACGGCGCTCGGCGCGCAAAAGCGATGGCCCTCATTCGACGCAGCGCGCTCGGAGGCACGCAAAGCGGCGCGGGACGCACACGTGCGCGACAGGCGTACTGCCTAGGCACGTGGAGCTGAGGGTGGCGGGGTGGATGGAGATGGCGCGTGTGGGTGGTGTGCGATGGGGCTGGGTGGGAAGGGAGAAGCAATATGAGCAGAATGTATGGGCTGACGGCGATATCTCATGTTTCGCGTGGCTCCAGGTTTGGTTCGCGTGGCTCGCATACCTGTGCTTTTGCTGGTAACTCTCGACGATGGATTCGCGAAACTTCTAGCGAGATCACGTGTTATCATCGCCAACAGAGCAGACCAGCCAGCCAGAATGGCTCGCGAAATCTAGTAATATGTTACCCAGTGAGTTTAATTTTTATCACATGCTGCTCGCCAACCACAAGCGGACTGCTCTTTCGCTGCATCACCACATCCCGCATGCCCTCTCTCTAACCGCACCATCCATCCATCGTCGATCGTTATGTCGTTTCTCGCCAGGGCGCATCGGTTGTTGAAGCCGCATCGCCTCATCGCCTCGCTCGTCCCCGCGTCGTCCGCCGTGAGTCGCGCACCTCCGTCGCGCGAAGCGGCTCTGCCGAGGGAGCTGTGTCCGCCAGAAGCAAGTCCGCGCGCCCTTGCCGTCGCGCAACGCGCCGTTGGCAGCGGCGCGCGTGAATCGGATGATCCCGCGGAGCCCTGGCAGCGCTGGCCCTCCCGCGAGCCAGGCGTCGCACGCGATGCTGCGCGCGCCGAGACGCACGTGGCGGGTGGGACGAGCGGCTTAGGCGGAGCTGCTGAAGGCGCGGGGTGGCGGGGCATGGCGGCGGGTGGGGCGGACCGTGGCGGGGAGGTGGGGGCCGGCGCTTGGGCGCGGGTGACGCGAGGCGGACAGGCGGTGAGCAGCACGGCGAATTCTGGAAGCGGGTGGGGAAGGGGACTGCCGTCACGTCGCCTGCTGTGCTCCGCGCCTTCCCTCGCCGCCGCTGCTGCCGTGGATGGCGGTGGCAACAGCGGCGGCATGGAGATCTTCAACCGGCGGTTGAAGGCGATGCAGGTGATGATGAGTGCATGGGGTTGCATGGGGTTACATGGGGTTGCATGGGGTTGCATGGGGTTGCATGGGGTTGCATGGGGTTGCATGGGGTTGCATGGGGTTGCATGGGGTTGCATGGGGTTGCATGTGGCTAATGGGGTGCAATAAGCGACGCATTGATGGAGCCCGTGTGTGGTGGGCGCCATGCCATGGCAGGCAGGTCGTCTGATCTGATCTCCCACGAATGTGCTGCTCTGCTCTGCTCACTCCCACCGCCCCTTTCCACTGCTCACCTCTGCCCATCATTGCCCACCTCGTGTTGCAGCGGGACAGAGCAGCGGCTGACATGGCATCGCCTCATGACGAGGTGCCACATGGCGATCCCTTAGTGGAGCAAGTGGCGTCCGTCCTCCTCGACCGCCTGGCAGTGAGTGGCCCTCCCTGCGCGCTGCATGTGGCATGATGCCGCCGAGGCAGCACACCTTGACATGCCCGCCGTGGCCACCATGCCCCACAGCTGCAGCATGCCCCACAGCTGCAGCATGCCCCACAGCTGCAGCATGCCCCACAGCTGCAGCATGCCCCACAGCTGCAGCATGCCCCACAGCTGCAGCATCAGCATCAGCGCTGCTCACGCCGCAGTTCCCACACTCTCTTCTTTCTCCCCTCTTCCATGACCTCTCCTTCTACCCTTCCATGACCTCTCCTTCTACCCTTCCATGACCTCTCCTTCTACCCTTTCTCACAACACACCAACCTCGTTCCCTCCTCCAGACTCCCTCCCTCCCGCTCTCTGCTCTGCATCTGTACCTCCTGCTCCTCACAATTTTCCCTGCCCAGCTAGCAACCACCACAGCAGCCGCTCGTTCCCCTCTTTCTCGCCCGTCCCATTTCCCCGCCACTCGCCGCGCCCTCCCCCCTCGCACGGCCCACCAGGACTGCCGCCGCACCTTCTCCTGCGTGCTGCTGCTGGGCGGGGCGGCTCTGCCCTCCGTGCTCTCCACACTGCTGCGCACCCACCGTACGCTCTACAGTGGTGCACTGCGGTGCAGTGGGGTGATGTGCTGTTGTTCGTTGTCATGTCAAGCTGATGCCTCTCTGTTGCCTGTAGCGTGCTGCTGTGATTCCCACAACTGTGATATAGGGGTGGGGTATTACAGGGATGGGGATGGGGATGGGGATGGGGATGGGGATGGGGATGGGGATGGGGATGGGGATGGGGATGGGCTTTGGACGTATGTTGTTTTGTGATCAGCCAACTGCCTCCCTCTTGCTTTTGCGTTCCTCTCTAATCTGCTCACATTGCTCATTCCTCGCATTGACTCACACCGCACCCATCGCTGATTGCACTGTGTACAGCCGGTGCAAGGTGTAAGAGCAGCAGCTCTGTGCTGCCACAACCGCATGCACGCGCATTCCTACACCCCACTTGCACCATGCACTTGCACCATGCACTTGCACCATGCACTTGCACCATGCACTTGCACCATGCACTTGCACCATGCACTTGCACCATGCACTTGCACCATGTGGAGGAGATCCCCCACCGCCGCCACCACTCACTCTCTTCTCGCACCTCTTGGTCCTCTCATTCATGCATGCCTTCGCTGCCTCGCCATTCCCCCCCGCACAGCAGCCGTGCAGCGAGTGGTGGTGGTGGACGTGTCCCCCACGGCCCTCGCACTCGCACGCGCTCACCTGCCTGCCCACGCCGTCTGCTGCAATGATGGCCTCCCTGCTGCCACTCACACCTCCACTCCGCTGCACACTGCACACCCAGCAGCAGCGTCAACAGTATCAGAAGCGTCAGCAGCAGCGAGGGTGGAGGTGGCGTTTGTGTTGGCAGACGAGGAGCACCTGCCCTTCCACGCCAGGTCACCCCTTGCCACGCTCCTTCTTCGTTAAAACACCTCTTTCTATTGCAGCAGCACCCGCCACCCCAAGCCGGCCCTGCCATCCCCACCGTCCGTGCTCTCCTCACCTGCACTACCTATCAAACCCGCCACCCCTCCTCTCTCCATGCAGCTCCTTCGACGCTGTAATATCGTGCCTGGGGCTGCACTGGGTCAACGACCTGCCTGCCGCCATGACGCACATCAGGTCATGCTCCGCTCTTTCTTCTGCCGTGCCGCTTCCTCTCCGCACCCATCCACAGCCGCCTGGAGCACCCCTTCCTGCATGTCACCCTCACCATCCTTCCTGCATGTCACCCTCACCATCCTTCCTGCATGTCACCCTCACCATCCTCATCCCTCATTGCCCCCTCCTCCCCTTTGCACCCCTCGTTGCCCCCCCCCCTCCCCCCCTCCCCCCCTTGTGTCCACCAGGAGGGCGCTGAAGCCCGATGGGCTCTTCCTCGCTGCCATGCTCGGCGGCGACACCCTCAGGTACTGGGAGGGCTGCACTGGGATGGGATGGGATGGGATGGGCTGCTCTCGTTGCTGGACTCCGTTAGTCGTGGCCTGCTCGGTCTTTCCGCGAAAACGGTTTCTCTCCCGGGAACTCGATCTCGCCCTGCATCAGCGCTTCTATGGATTCTGCCAATCGAACGGCCTCCATGAAGGTAGCTGGACGGCTGCAGCGCCCCTCATACTGTATCTCGTCTTTCAAGCCGTTGATGTTCTCATCCAACCGTTCAGCTTCCGACATGGCGTTCACTTGGTCGGCGAGGGCCATAAACGACGCCATGTAATATTGAGCAGAAGCCAGCTGCGGTCAGGCACGCAGCTTCATGCGAGCGTGTTCCGAGGCGGATACATGCTCGAAACGCTCTCGTAAGGCTGCGCCCCACTCCTTCCACCTGCGAATTGCGATTACACCGAATATTGAAGATGCCCTTCGATTTTCCGAGGTTGAGGTCCCGTGTGCCGCATGTGTCACACCGGTCGGGGTCCCTGTGTCCAAGGTTCGGCGCCACTAATCGAGCGCTGGGCCTCGCAGAAGCGATGCCGCGTATGTAATACGCGTGGCGTCGTCGTTAACGTTGGCTGCAGTGACGAAAACTTAAACGCCAAAGAGCCACCCCTTCACCGTCCTTCTCCTTGCTCTCTCCTTCTCGCCTCCACGCACCTCTTTCCCTTTTTCCACATTCCAGACACTCCTTGCCTCTCTCCCTCCGTTCATCCCTCTTTGCCCGCTGCTCTTGTTGCCGCATCTCCCTTGGGCACTCTCCGTTGTTCATTTTCTGGCATTTTCTGGCATGTGCATGTTGCACGCATGATGGGTGCATGTTGACATGGCATGTGCATGGTGGCATGTGCATGGTGGCATGTGCATGGTGGCATGTGCATGGTGGCATGTGCATGGTGGCATGTGCATGGTGGCATGTGCATGGTGGCATGTGCAGGGAGCTGCGCATAGCATGCACGTTGGCACACATGGAGAGGCAGGGCGGCGTGGCGGCTCGAGTGGCTCCCATGGCTCAGGTGGGGTGAGGCGGGTGGGGTGAGGCGGGTGGGGTGAGGCGGGTGGGGTGTGGGATAGCAAGCCCCTCTCAGCGTGATGTGGAAGAACATAGCTGCCATGCTGCCTGCTGTACCAGCAGCATGACAGTGTGGTGAGCATCACATGGCACGTGTCATCCCCACCATTGCACTCTTGTGCCCAACAATCCTCCCTCCCCCTCGTCCCTTCCAGGTGCGAGATGCAGGCAATCTGTTGACGAGAGTGGGCTTCGCGCTGCCCACCGTCGATGTCGATGAATTCCCAGTCGCCTACCCCTCAGGTGTTCTCGCCTACCCCTCAGGTGTTCTCGCCTACCCCTCAGGTGTTCTCGCCTACCCCTCAGGTGTTCTCGCCTACCCCTCAGGTGCTCTCGCCTACCCCTCAGGTGCTCTCGGCTACCCCTCAGGTGCTCTTTCCTACCCATCAACTGCATTCCAACTGCCGTTGCAAACCGTATTGTTGCTTATCAATCAGGAGCCCAATTGGTTATCAGTGGACCGCCTGGTTGCTTATGAGTGAGTGATCTGCATGCACCGTGGTCCATGTGTGATGTGCATGCACCGTGGTCCATGTGTGATGTGCATGCACCGTGGTCCATGTGTGATGTGCATGTACCGTGGTCCATGTGTGATGTGCAGGCACCGTGGTCCATGTGTGATGTGCATGCACCGTGGTCCATGTGTGATGTGCATGCACCGTGGTCCATGTGTGATGTGCATGCACCGTGGTCCATGTGATGTGCATGCACCGTGGTCCATGTGATGTGCATGCACCGTGGTCCATGTGTGATGTGCATGCACCGTGGTCCATGTGTGATGTGCATGCACCGTGGTCCATGTGTGATGTGCATGCACCGTGGTCCATGTGCCCCCATGCAGCGGTGCAGGTGGTGCAGCACCTGCGGTGGCTGGGTGAGACCGACTGCACTCTGCACCACACCCAGGTGGGAGCACACCATGCTGCCATGCTGCCATGCTGCCATGCTGCCATGCTGCCATGCTGCCATGCTGCCATGCTGCCATGCTGCCATGCTGCCATGCTGCCATGCTGCCATGCTGCCATGCTGCCATGCTGCCATGCTGCCATGCTGCCATGCTGCCATGCTGCCATGCTGCCATGCTGCCATGCTGCCATGCTGCCGTGCTGCCATGCTGCCGTGCTGCCATGCTGCCGTGCTGCCGTGCTGCCGTGTTGCCGTGCTGCCGTGCTGTGCTGTACCACTTTTATCTCATTTGCCTTCGCCATTCTGCCTGGCTTCCCGTTTGAATTCCCGTCTGCACCTCTCCCCTCCATTCTCTCCCACCACGAAATCATCCCTCCTGCCTCGCCACTATCTCCTCCCAGCTGTCTCGCCTCTGCCCTTTCCCACTCAATCCTTCCCCTTCCCATTCTCTCCTTTCCTTCTCACTCACTCCCCTCGTTTCCCCCCCGCCCATCCGCTCAGCCATTGCCGCGTGACACGGCACTGGCAGCAGCGGCCATCTACGCGCACATGTTCCCCGTGCGCCCACCCTCCTCCTCGCAACCTCATTCGCCACCAGACCTTGCTCCTGGAGCACAGGCGAGGGGGGAAGAAGCAAAAGGGAGGGATGACGATGGTGTTGTCGCTACCTTTCAGGTTCTCTGCCATCTCACCTGCACACGGCCTCATCTCACCTGCACACGGCCTCATCTCACCTTCACGCTGCCCCATCTCACCTTCACACGGCCTTGTCGTTTCTCTACCCATGGGACAACACCCATCCTTGTGGCTTTGTTTTTTGTGCTGTTGGTCGTTCAGAATCCTCACCAGCCCCATCTCGCGCTCTCACCAGCGGCCTCCCCCCGCCCCATTCTCCCTTCACAGCAGGCATGTCTTCCCTCCAGGCTCATGCTCCAAATGCGCAACTATCCGCCCTCTCCTCCCCCCCACCCCCCCCCCCCCCCCATTTCTCGTGCAGGTCATCTTCATGGCGGGATGGGCGCCCCACGAGTCGCAGCAGAGGGCTCGCCGTCGCGGCTCTGCGTCCGTGTCGCTGCATGATCTGCACCACTCTCTGCCCGCCAAGCCGTGACACTCCATCCTCCTGCTGCCGCCGACTCACCACACTCTTAGTTACTAACTAGTTAGGGTAGGGAGAATGGTGGATGATGGACTAGGCGAGGAAGCCGGGCACAAGGAGAGTGGCGAGAAGTTTGGTGTATTTCCTAAGTGTCAAGAACTGAATGATGGTTTGACTAAGGTTGGTTGGGGCAGGGCCCAAAATATCAGGGTAAAACGCCCTGATTACCCTAGGGGCCGGCCGCTTTTTCAGGATTACCCTGCCCAAATCAGGATTCCACGATAATTACCATTTTGCCAAAAGAGCATGTTTTTTTTTACACTGATAGGATTTATCGTTACCCTCACGGTGTCAGGGTAGGGTGTACACTACCCTGATACCGAAACTTCTTTACCGCGGATCAGGCCAAACTCCGCGTGGTGTCAAACTGTACAACACCCACACAAACAAGCGTTGTCGCTTGTGACCACTGGCATAAAACCTTGATTCGTTGTCGGCGACACGCCATGTCGCCTCATTGGTTGTTTTTCCCACAGGACTGCCAACTCACCCTTGAATCCAGCCACACGTCGCCACGCCCACCGCCTTCACAGCTTGGGCGTCAAGGGCAGCTTCAAGCTGTCATACGCAACAAATTGCAGTCCCAGTCCTGCTCTGCTGGCCATGCACTTCCCGCCGTGTGGAAGAAACGGCCGAAACAGGCTTAGCCTAAAACTACCCTGCTCAAATCAGTGTAGAGGTTGATTTACCTTGCTGCGAACAGGGTACGAAAAAATTTACCCTAGGGGTCTGGTTAAGGAGGGGCTGGAACCCTGATTTGTAAGGGTAGGCCTAAACCAATTTTGGGCCCTGGTTGGGGTACATAAACCTAACCCTAACAACTGTACCTCACATGACATGTCTCTGTCAAAATCTACAGGCAGGAATGAATGAACTAGATGAAAGTTGGGTACAAGTATGAAACCCTAAAGGGGTTGTACCCCATATCAGCTACCCCACTACAGCCTACACATATAGAATAGATATATAGTTTGACACACCCCCATAGGCAAAATGGGGGAGAGCAATGGGTCACAAGACCAGTCAAGAAGAGCAAAGCAAGCTCAGGGTGGATCACAACGTCACCACACACACTGAGCACAAGCAAAGGGCCACAAGGCCAGTTCACATGCAAAGGTATATATGCAACAACAACAGCACAGTGATCACTACCTAGCAAGAGCAAGCATGCAGGTATATATATAGATCACAGTACAAGCAAAGTCTACAGCAAGTGCGGAAACGTAGGCACAAGGCCTAACAAAGTACAAAAACGTCGATGATCACCAGACGGAAGTGTCTTGGTGAATATATCAGCAGTGTTGGCCCGAGTGGCCACGTGAGCAAGACGAAGCTGACCACGCTGCTGCAACTCTCGAGCCAGGAAGTAACGCAGAGCGATGTGCTTCGTTTTGTGCTCCAGTCTGTGCTCCTGACACAAGGCAATGGCGGCCTTGTTGTCGACGTACAGAACTGGAGGAGAACGAGGCCTCTCTCCCAAGTCGGTCAGCAGGTAGGTGAGCCAGCGTAACTCCTGTGCAGCCATGGCTGTGGCGTAGATCTCAGCCTCACAACTGGAGCTGAGAACAGAAGACGAGCGAGTAGACCGCCAAGAAACAGAGCCAGAGCCAAGGCTGAAAGTGTAACCCTGTGACGACCGCTGCGTAGCCAGGTCGTCAACCCAAGAAGCGTCTGAGTGCCCAGTGAGGACAACTGGACTCCGCCCTCCAAGCACGAGCCCCATGCCCGATGTACTGCACAAGTAGTGCAGTACCCTCTTCGCAGCATCCATGTGCACCTTTCGGTGCCGACCAGGAGCCACGTAGCGTGCCAGAAGGCCAAGAGGGTACGCAAGGTCAGGACAAGTGCAGGTCATCAGGTACATGAGGCAGCCCACTAGCTCTGGGTAAGGACCGCTCGGCTCTACGGACTCGTCCGAAGGTGGAGCTGAGAGCGAGTGACCTGTAGCCAGAGGAGTGGACTGTGGCGAGGACCAGGTGAAGGCGAAGCGCTGAAGGACCTGCTGCACCATGTGTGACTGAGTCAGTGTGATGGTGCGGCGTGCTCTGTCCCGGGTGATCTGCAAGCCAAGGTAGCTGCGCAGCTCACCCAAGTCTGTGCACGTGTGTTCTGTCTTCTCCTTTCTTTCTTTCCGCGCTGCTCCCCTTGTGATGCTACTGTATAGAAGACTAACTTCTCCCGTTTGACATTCTTCTCATTGTTCATGTCAATCTCCTTTTGCTCGGAAAGAAGTGTGGCGCACAGAGCCGACTCCGAAATCGTTGCTCGGGCGCGAAGGAGTGACTGACATTGTCGCCAGTCGGGGTCGAGACCAGAGATGACCATTGAAATGAACATGTCGTCGGGAACGGACCCACCGCACTTTTTGACGTGATCGCGCAGATTGCGGCACCGGTTAACATATGGTCCCGCTTTCTCCCCTTACTTCATTTTAACCGAAGTTAACTGGCTGAGCAGGCGACTCACTGTAACAGGATCTGTTGCCATGTATGAGTTGCGCAGGTGTACCCAGGACGCGTGCGCGGGAGCCCACTCCGTCTTGTAGGGGCGGATGCCGAGCTGTTCTTCGGGAGAGAGATTTCGAAGGAGAGCGGTGTACGCGAGGAGGGATTCGTGGTAGTATTGATGCTTCTCCTGGATGGTGCCTTCCGAAGGAAAAGGTAAGCTTCCGTCGTAGTACATCCAGATCTGAGCGGTTGTCGCGAGAAGTTCAAATTCGAAGCTCCACGTGTAGAAATCCTTGCCGTCAAAAGGAATTGAGGTCTTCAATTTTGAAGTCAATACAAACTTAGTTTGCATAGAAGCGATTGCTTCTGACTGTGCTCGTTGTGGGTTGTCTTGTGCAGGAGCTGAACCTTGACGATTGTCAAAGGTGAAAGATCTCTCGGAGTTGACGCGGCGGTCTTCTCCAGGGAGAGGGAGTCCAGCAACTCCACGTGCATAGCTTGAGCCATCAACGCTCATTGCTTGATGGCTTTCAAGGGCGTTGATGCGTGCGACTAGCTGCTCAACGACAGCGGCGCTGACGGAGGTCACCGCTGATGGCGCGTTAGTCGTTGCTGGTGGTGGGCCCGGTGAGTCTGCAGTGGCTTTTCCTTCTGGAGCCATAGTGATGCAGAGTCCTTAATGGTGTAATGAATAATCCATAAAGAGTTTGTTCTAGCAAGAACAAGAACTTGGCAGGCCTTGTAATCCACTCTAGCTCTCATACCATGCTGATATAACCAAGAATCAAGTAGATAGGATAAGATCTGTTAAGTCTGAGAGGAGACAATGGAGTCTCTGTAGTGACCTTGTTAATAAGTTGAAAGAGAACAAGATGATTAAAAGATAGGAGTACAAGAGATTAAATAGCAAACTAGCTAGCCATGTACTCTGAGGGGTACATTCCCTTATTAACTGTATTGCATAGCTACAGTAACCGAGACTATTGCTATCTTTGACAGTTACCATGTTGCAGCGAACAACTGTCGCGCGGTTACTGGGTGGTCAAGGGTCACGACCGTTGACTACCCTCGACGGTTGACCTTCGGGTGACCCTCGACCTTCCGCGTGCTCTATATGAGCTAATGCGGTACTGGTACAGTTAAATATCTTCAGGAATGCTTATAACCTTTCGGTTATTCCAACACCTTCCATATGGGGTTTAGTTTTTTTGCCCCGGGCAGTTTGTCGTTTTGTGGTTTCGTCTTTGTCGTTTCCTCGCCTGCTACATTCCGTTGAGATATACTAGGCTAGTGCGATGACCGGAAGTTAGACCCACTTTGGGTCATCCGAGACCAACTTCGGGTCTTCCCGCCAAAAATTGCTCCTGTTTTCGGAAGACATGAAGTTTGACAGGAAGTTTAAAGCCCAAGTTCCAAATTGCGGAGCGCGTGGGTCAAGTTTTTAAAACTTGATAGCATTGACTTTGCAAACTTGAAAGAAGAACCAGTGCAATTTGGGACTATCGAGCATCAATCGGAACCACCAGGGGAAATACAAGGGTCGGTTAGGTTTGACGAAAAAATCGAAATTTTTGAAATAAATTAGTGACTACGCGTGATAGATCCGCCGGTACATATGACGAACTGTGACGGAACAGTGACGTTTTGTGATAGAGTTTCACTGTATATGACGTCCCATATAATTACAAAAAAAAAAAAAAAAACAGTCATGCGTGGCATCCAATTGCTCCAGTAATAGAAGATTGGTGTGAAAATTGCGGCAAAATTGTGTGACGTGATCGATCGCGTGCCTGTTTCAACCCTGTCGACCAAGCTCGCACCGCAGGTAGGGCGACCGAACCTCCCATGATTGGATCGACCTACATGCGCTAACGTGCAGTGGTTATGGTAGTGGTAACGGTAATGGTAACGGTAATGGTATCGGTAATGGTAACGGTAACGGTAATGGTATCGATAACGGTAATTGTAATGGTAATGGCAATGGCAATGGCAATGGCAATGGCAATGGTAAGGGCAATGGTAATGGAAATGCTAATGGCTTTCGTAATGGTAATGGTAATGGTAACGGTCATGGTCATGGTAATGGTAATGGTAACGGTAATGGTAGAGGTAATGGTAGCGGTAATGGTAACGGTAATGGTACCGTTGATGGTATCGGTAATGGTAATGGTTGCGGAGAGTCGCTACACAACGGGAGTGGACCACGGAGGAGGGCACGGAGTTGTGCGAGTGATTGTAGCGTTCTAGTAGTGTTCATACTGCTTGCTGTGTTCACAGAGAAGTTTGGCAAGAGTTTCACTAGAAATTGAAATAACATTGAACATTAGATCACATATGAGGCATGCAAGTCGATATAGCTAGAATGGCACGCAACACCTACCAAGCCCTCTACAGGATGAATTGTGCCAGCGCAGCAGAAGAGCGGCTTCTGCCAGCGCGACATAAGAGTGGCTTGCCAATTCTGCAGGGCAGGGGAGAGATGCACGGGGGAGATGCACGGGGGAG